CGTTTGCACATGTGCAGTACTCCTGCACATGTGCAAATGTGCCACGGCCACCATTTTGGAAATCAAAATGGCGGGCATGGCGAGCGCGGCCACACGGAGGCTAAAATGCGCGGCAGTGGCGGCGGCAGGGGTCTGCCTGGGCCGGTAAGTCTGGTGACCTGGCCCGGAACTGGCCCAGGGGCCGTAGGTTGCCGGCTCCTGCTTCAGAGGGTAAGTGAGTGGGCAGAGAAGGCTGATTTAACTTTTAATCTGGGCTTGAGCACCATGGGCAGTCTTACCTGCTATGGTGCCCACTGGGAGGAAGGGAAGGAGAGAGAATCTGCCTGCTCCTTCCTCTCTGTTTTGCTCAGTCTCTCTCAGTGGGCACCATACCAGGTTGGACTTCCCATACTGTTAGTATCTAGATTAAAAGAGCCAGTGTGGCATAGTGGTTTGAGTGTTGGACAATGACTCTGGAAATTAGGGTTTGAATCCCTGCTCAGCCAATAAAACCCACTAGTTGTCCTTGGGCAAGTCACATGCTCTCAGCCTCAGAGGATTGCAGTTACAAACCATCTCTGAAGAAACTTGCCAAGAAAACACTGTGCTAAAGTTGCCTTAGGGTCAACAACTTGAAGGCATGAAATAGCAACAACCATCTGCCTTCTCTGAACCAAAGTGGCTTTTGCCTTCTCTTGCTTACACACTTTTCCCTTTACCTCACCAACAGTATTCTGGGGGACTTGCAAGGGTGTGTATGCACCCCTCCCACTGTATTTTCAGTCTAATACAGATCAAGGAAGCAGAGAGAGTCACTTGATTGACTCTGTGTCATTAGAGTTACTTACTGGCTGCTTTTTCTTCAAAGTAAGAGTTGTAGGGTAACCACATGTTTCAGACCACACGTTTAACATAAAACTGAGTTGGACATTTGTTCAGTAAGGATGGACCTGACACTGAGAGGGAGATAGAGGAAAACCAAATGTATACGTCTGACAGAAAAGAGAAGAGAACAGAAAAAAGAAAAAGACAATTCCAGAGGGATAGCTTGTTAGATTAAAACACAGAGAGCTGGATTTGGATGCAAGAATCAAGGAGCAAGTTGCCCCCTTTCCACAGACAAATTTAAAAAGGTGGGATATATATGAATAAAATAAATAAATAGTTCTTAGGTTTTGTGGGATGAGTCATGGCAGCTGAAGTCAAGCTGCTTTAACTCCGCATTGACTACCCTAGGGCCTTTGCAGACTGCTAGAAATAGTGCAAATTGAGTCCAGTT